ATCCTGTGGACTGGGATTTTCAAACAGGACTAAACAGAGTTAAGGTGATATACCATCCTGCACAGATACCTATGCAATGCAACACACGAAAAAAAGAAATCCATAGTTAATGAATCATGCCTGAAAGCTTACCTCTCTCGCTTTGTTTTCTCTAATTTATCCTTTAATATCATGATCTCTTTCTGCAGTGCAAGCTGATGGCTCTCTGAATCATGTACTTCCTTTTTCACATTTTTTACTTCCAAAACGTGTGATGCTTCCCGTCGGACCAACTCCTCTTCATAAAATAAGATTTTCTTTTCCAGCTCAGACTTAATTTTGGAAAGCTCTTGCTGATGCTCTAGTGTGGCACCTGCTGCACGGCCTCCCTGCTTCAGCTGCAGAAGAAGAGAAACCATCAGGAAGAGACTATGATCTTTATATTTTGGGAAAATTATTTAAACTTAGAATTGTTGAACTGGTGGCACTTTCGAAAAATTTTTATCTGGGCACGGAGTGATTTAAAAGGTGCCTGTCTCCAAGCATGAAGCCTCATAAGTGACTGCTCTGACTACATGACTCTAGTAAGGGGTTCAAATGGGTTGCAGACATAACAAATTTGGATCACATTGGTTTAGTATCTGGTTAGAATTCATAAACTGGACATTTTCAAGACATTAGTGTCCAATGAGATATTAAAGTGCTTCAAGCAAAAAAAACCCCAAATAAACCTGAACAGGTTAGATCAGGCTTCTAGTAATGCTGTAGGTTAAGTCTCCCATAGGTATTGACAGTTGAGTAAGCAAAACTATTGCAGCTCCTGTGTCATGAGTAAAAATCTGTCAAAGAACACGTAACCTTTAGAGCTTCCAGTTCATTTTCCAGTTGCTTGGAGAAGACCTCACTGTGCTCACGAAGCTTGCGCTCTTTTGATGCTTCTGCTACAACTTCTTCAAGTTGGGCTTCCAGCTGCAACGAGAGTAATGTTAAGTCATTTCAACACAAGATACTGCTATCTGTATCATTCATTTCCTCTCCTCCATACAGATGAGCAGCAAGCTTTTCTTTATTTCTATTTTATGTTACACCACTATAACAATCATATCAGAACATCATGATAATTGTTTTGCCTTCATTGACCCAGGCATCCATCTGTCTCATGCAGTAGAACTATTACTATATGACTTTTTGTACTGATATGAACTACACTAAGTATGTGCAGGGATAATTGCACAGCTTCTATTAATGCTAAGAGAAGGACATGGCACTAGGAAGTCATTGCAGCTGTGAAAGAATAAAGTTTCCTACATATTTACAGGTCAGCTCCATGCCTCAGTATCTACTAAGGCATCTTAAAAATCCCAACCTTTGAGCCAAATTATTGCAAAATACTTCAAATATGAACACTGAACACTTTTACCTTGCAATTATAGAGCAAAATAAGCTTGATCATCCATTTATTGACTTCAGAAAGACAATTTAGTGGCAACTAAGGCAACTGTTGCAATTCAAGCAACAGCGGCACAGTTTTAAAAAATGACAGGAAGAGTAAGATTTGCTTTTCTGCATTCAAATTCAACTAGCAAAGTTGGTTTTAAAAGAACTGTATTTAGAATTGCGGGCCAAGATAATGAACTTATAGACTATGTTCTGAATAGAAGATTGATACAGCTGTTAGGAAAGGGAGAACAGAAGAATTTGTAAGAACAAAGACAGGAGACTATAAAGCCCTGCATGGAAATATTTAACTGAATAAGCAACAACACTTGAATGCCTGCTGCACTCTGCTCTAGAGATGAGGTGCCAGAGCCCTACGCATCAAATGTGGTGCCACAGACACCTTTGCCTTTCCCAGTTAACCATTTCTTATTCATGGATCAAAGTCTGAGAAACTTCATCTCTTACTACATTTTCATAGACTGCCCTTCAATTTGCTAGAAGGTTTCTAGCAATGTTTATAAAGGTCTTGAATTTCTCTTCTACATTTCACCCAGAGAATACATAAAATTTGATGATTTTTCAGTAATTAAAACACTCTGGGTTAACCATAATAGCTGTTTCTTATGCCCTCTTCTGGTTATCCACTTCATCTTATGTAAAACTATAAATTGCCTAGAATACTAATTGGAAATTAATTTGCTTAAAGATATTACAGACATTCTCTACAATGACTAACTACAGAGGAAGGAAAACCACCTATTTAGCTTGTATCACTATTCCTCCCCTCCAGCTGAAGAGAAAAATTCAGTTGAAAAATAAATGAAGTCAGAATACTCCAACATTAAGCTTTCTAGGTTTCAAGCTCACTTGTGAGTCAGAGTCTACAGGAATCAAAACACAAGAACTAAGAAGCTGGGCATATAGCAAGAATAGTTTTCTCCAGACTAAAATCAGCCTGAGTACAAACAAAAAAGAAGACTTGGTTCATTTCCTCATACATCAGTAAAACATTTCGAAACAAAATCAAGATCTATTTTGTGAGCTGTAGCAAAGTCATATGAAAGAGTTACCAGGGTAATTTCTTATAAAGAGACAAAGTAAATTACTGTTAACAGTCCTGATTTTTCAATACAATCAAATATGAGATACTGGATAAGCAGCAGCTGAAACATGTTATTGTTTCCTATTTTATCAAGATACCTCTTTTCTGATCTTCTCCGATTTACGGATGTCCTGTCTCATAGCATCAATTTTCTGCATGCTCACTTCCACCTCCTCTTCTTTGTCACGAAGTTGACGGGACAGCTTCTGCTTTTGGGCCCGCAAGTCTCCCATCCTCTCACTGAGCTCAGAGAACTCCTGCACAGCCAGCTTCCTTTGCTGGTGGGCATCCCTCAATTCTTTGGATTGTGCCTTTAATCTCTCTGAGGCTTCTACAAGTTGCTGGTTTAAATAAAAAAAATATAATAATAAGAAAGTCATTTGAACTCCATATATTCTTTCCAAGAAGAAACAAAGTGGACCTACATAAGCATGACTTGAAAGCTCAACCTCCTCACATAACTTTTAAATATTATTTATACTACTTAATTTACACTAAGTTTTTTTTTCTGGGTAAGCAGCTGCAGTAACATACCAAGACAGCAGTTATTCTGCTTCTAGCGAGGCAGCTCTAAGAGTACCTTTGCTGTTCCAGAAGTCTGTCTTATAAATCTGACTACACAAGGGCCACCTCACTTCCAAATAACTTGATTTCAGACTACCACCATGTACCTGTGCAACAGTAATCTTTTTTTAAAGGAATATTTTACCAGACAGCACATTCAGGGGAGCCATCAAATACAGTCTACCAGCACTGAGACGCTGCAGCAAGTCTTGTGAAATTCTTCAGAAAACTGATGAAGATTCCTTAGAACAAACTGTGAAGCTCTTAATACTTTAATTGAAAGTATAAAAGCTGTTTCCTTTACAGCAAATGGTTAACAAAAATTAATAAGATTAAAACACAAATTGAATGTTC